GGACCAGCAAAATTTGCGGGAGCAAGAGTAGGTGTGGGCCGAGCGTCACCCGTGGTTCCACCTGTCTGGCAAGGGTGCAGCAGCATGAGTGACGTGCCCAGGGTCAGGAGAGTTTTCTGCGAGTGCCCACCCTGCCTCTCCCCCCTTCCCTCTCTCTCTCTTAGAGTTCGAATCAATACTATTTCATGGCGCGCCAGGTCCGCAGCTGCTCAGAGCAAACGGGGCGTGATCGTAGCCATGGCCATGCCCTCGTCAGTTACCTTAATCCCGCGGGAACGTTGCAGGCTTTGGGCCTGAACTTCGGATTGGACGATAAGGTCGTGCAAGCTTTTTTGGCCACCAAGGTGCAGAATCTGGAGGAGTTCCGCTACTTCTTCGCCGACGAAGGGGCAGTGGACCCGTGGCTCGAGAAGACCCCCCTCGGCGAGGAGCACAACATAGTATGTACTTCAGTCAGTCTGAAGCGGACAGGTCCAAAGTTGCGTTGGCTGACCTTGACTGTATTTTGGGGGAGAGTGAACTCCGTGACCTTAAGACCAACTTCTGGCGGCGGTACCGCCAACGATATCCTCCCGAGGTGCACCCGTCCGATGCTACCGTTTCACGGGTCAGCAGAGAAATGGGCAAACGGATGTTGTGCATTTTTTCCGTCTGGAAAGTGAAGAGCCTACAGCGCCAACTGTTGTCGTCAGTTAAGAAGCGGAAACTTGCCCCCAACCTTTACACTGAGGACGACGACCCGGACGAGGCGGGGCCTCGTGATGCCGAATCCTATCTGGACAGACTTTTCACGCTTTGCCTCTCCTATGCCATGGCAGGTACCAGGCGCGCCTGCGGGAACCGAGGAGGCTCACCTAGGTGCAGATTCCAGCCTGTTTGTGGCAGTCCCTTTGGACGTGTGACTATGACGTATTGGTTCCGTGCCAAGAGGACCGATGCGCTTGTGTCGTCCTCGCGCAGGCTGTCATGGCTGCAGGCCCGCGACCAGGAGGAGCGCACCGAGTGGGTCGCCCGGTTCCGGGACTCCCAGAAGACTCTGGGACAGGTCATCAATTAAGGAGGTCTTCGTGGCGCGCGACCCCCATTGGATTCCTCCTTCTTCGGGGCCGCCGGGGACCGGATCTGCCCTTCCCGAAGCCCCGCCGACGCTTCCGAAAGCTGATTCCCTTTTTCAACTTTTGGGCACCATCGCAGGTAAGAAAGTCGCCTCCTGCATGAAGGATGGGAAGCAACTGTGCAAAGAATTTCAGAGGGGCAGATGCAGCAAGAAGGATTGCGCCTCAGGGGCCCACCTGTGTGGCGTGGTGATCAGAAATGAGCGTGTGTGCGGTGGTCAGCGTACACCAGCCCAGTGCAAGAATAAAGTGAAGCCATGATGGGGCCCCGAGCCAGGTCTCTTCCTCACCTACCATCGCAGAGAGCGCTCAAGGGGCGAGCCCGTCCCCCGTATTTCTGCACTTGCAGCCCGTTGGAAAAGGCTTTCCTTTGGTGCGGATGGCACGTCTTATCGGCTAGTGGCGTCGACGGTCATAGCCACGATCTTGCTGATCCTGGGTTGAGGGCAGAGCTTGGGGAGCTCTCGTCGAAAGCCGATTTCCTCCTGGCTTCGATGCCTGGCGAGCCTGGGTCTCGGGCAGGGGAAGTGCCCGAAAGCTTCGCAGAACGCCGTCACTCGGTCATCTGGGCTCGGCCGGGAGGTGCCCGGCCGAGCCGCCCGCTCAGATCTACACGGTCGCTGCTGACAATTCGGCACAGGAGGCTGGGGACTGGATTTTGCAACAAATGGACTTGATCAGTGGCCGAGGCGGCGGTTGCGCGTGCGAGGCGCCTTCCAACTCTCCATGGTGGGCTTCGATGGCCGAGGGGCGGCCGTTCGATGCAGCGAGTTGGCATGACACGACATACTCTACCTGCGTTTTTGCCGGTGCCAGGTGCAAGTCTCAGACCATACGGCACAACATCGACGAGCTCGCGCAAGGCCCCTCCCTGGCATGCCAGCATGTGCATGATGCTTCGGAATGGGAGCCTTACGCGCTGTGCGACTCCATCGTCTACCCCAGTCACGAGGAGTCCGAGTGCACTGCCCCACTGGCGTTCTTCCTGGCGGTCTCGGTCTCTTGGTGGGCTGCGCGGCAAGGTCTTGCCGTTGCCAAGATCCATCGTCTCCCCCCATTCGAGGCGACCGGAAGAAAAGAGCATTGGCTGCAAATCGACCCCGATGCCGTTAGATCGAGAGCTATGGCACCCCTCGCAATATCGCTGGGACTCCGGCCTGCTCAAATCCCGGGCGCAGCTGAGCTCCCGGTTCCAGCCTTGACCTTGGCCGAGGACACAGTTGTGGACAAAGGTGTTTTGCCCAGCGGCTGCATCTACGTCGGACAAGGCAACTACCAGCACAGGCTCCCCACTTCGCAGTGGCGCAGCCCTTGGGTGGCGGGCCTGAATTGCGATCCAGCCGAGAGGTTGACCCGATATGCGGAGTTCATCCTGACCGAGCTATGGAACGAGCTGGACCAGCTTTGGGGCATGACACTTCTATGCGATTGTCC